CTTTCTACTTCAAGCAAGCCACCTTCTATTGAAATTCTTTGTGGTGCATCTTCCATTGCATTTTATTGTGCTGGGCCAGCCCTCATCACCCACACTTTGTTTATCTGCTCCACTGAGTATTGCAACCTCTCTTTTTCTTATCTCCATGTTTCACACATGGCTTTCTGATTGTTTCTTCAGAATTCTGCTGCAAAAATAACATCTGAATTACATCCCTGCAGCTGTGACCAAATGCTCCCTCAACCACAGAGTCAGCTGAAAGGTCTCAAGCCCTTGCCTTTCTCCTCCTGTATAAATGAGTGCAACTGGTCTCTCCATTTGCTCCCTGAGATTGTGCATCTAAAGAAGCTTCCTCTCTTCTGTGCAGCAGCTGAGCACTTACTCTTTATTGAAGTATCTTCTCAAAACCAATTTTTCCCTAGGACCTGTTTTTGACAAGCCCTTGGTAAAAGAATCATGATGTGGATGTGGCACTTTGGGGACAAGGTTTAGTGGGTGAACATGGCAGGGCAAGGCTAGTGGTTGGACTTGGTGATCTTAGAGGTTGTTTCAACTTTAGTGATTCTTTGGCCCATTGTGTTTTCCTTGCCATGTGCCACTTCTGTAGCATTTGATTCTCAAAATTCTTAATTCTTATTTATTCTCCTAGACTTGTATGGTGCAGGCTAAGAGATAAGTATGAATATTCCTGCTGCAAAAAAGAAGAGAAAACATTGGATGCAGAGAAAGCTTTGTTCTGTTTTGTATTTTTGTATTTGCCATGCTCAGTCTCATTTGGCAGAGAATGTGTCCAGGAAAGTCACAGACAAAAGTTATAGGGAAAGGGGCTTGAGATAATGAAAGAGTTTTGATTATTGAAAGCTAGTTGAAAAAACTAGATGAAAAAATGTTGAAACTTTTGAGAGCAATGTGTGAGCCTAAGGCCTTTGTCTTCTGGCAAGGCATGAATGAATACTGGCAGTGAAGGCAATTATGCTTCTGTGCTATGAAAATATGTCACAAAGGCATTTTGAAACTTAGATGGCATTAGAAAAGGTTTTAACATTTGGATCAGTCAAGATAGTCTATTATTAGTTCATAGCTTTTTAGATACATTCTAGATCATGGACGACACTTTATAAAAGTGAAATCTAAATAATTCATAAGATTCTGGAGGAAATTTCTGAAGCAGAAAACACCATCACCATCACAACAGAATCATTACTTATGTTTGTTATTCAATTCTTCTTGAATAGCTCTAAGCTCTAACAAAGGCTTAGTGTGAATGCCACCATTTCCAGGTAAAAAAAATCAGTATGTGCTTGTGCTGTTCTGTGCACATGCTGAGTATAGCACTCTCCTACCTGTTTGAATTTTTTTTTTAAGTAGATGAACATCATTCAGACTCGTAGTGACCTCCAACTTACATAAATTCCCCTCCAATTTTTAGTTGATTACAGCTGAAATAGAGTTAGCAACAAATGCTTAAGTCTGTGAGCCTGTTAGTTCATAGGTGCTTAAATGTGAGACTTAACTTGCCATTGCCCTGAGACTTGAGGCATTTCAAAATCCCACTCTTAGGTGTCAAATCTGACATTAGAAGAACCCTGGTTCTGAAAGCTGCAAAGCTGCATCCTTGTTTATATACCTTAATAAGCTGGGCTTGAAAATTGTTAACTATTTCAGGAGCACTGAGGAACTCAAAGTGAGCATTACTTTTATTTATATGCTGGGAACTGGACTGTAAGAATTTAACATTTTGACCTCTGAGAAAAAATAAAAACCAGGCTATACATTTTTAAGGCTTCTTAAAACAATCAAGAATACTTGATGTTTTTAAATATCTAATTTGTAATCAAGAGCCTCCTGAGTCAGTGGTGAGCATAAGGATTATGAAATGCTCTTCTCTCTTTATGTGATAGGTATAGATCAAAAATATGATATGTTTCAATGTTTAAGATATTTTAATTTTTTTACTTGTGAAATAGTTTGCAGGTAAAAATTTCAGTTGAAAAAAATCCATTGAAGCTTTTTTTTTTTTTTTTTTTTTTAGCTTTAAAAGCCAACAGTCAACATTCATTCAATGTTTGGGTTTTATTCCTCACCTCAATCTTGCAAATAGAAGCTTCACAATCTGACCATCTCAATGTGAGGTCCTAAATTGCCATTTTGAGCCACAGCAGTGGCATTTGCAAAAATATCAATTTTTTTTCCCTGCAATGGTGGCATGCACATATTTTTCCACACTGGCTAGCTCCCCATACAAACTGGTATTTAAAACTTATACAGCTTTCCAGTCCACACAGCAATGTTGCTAGTGCTGGTGTGAATTCTTGCAGTATTTGTACTTGCTTGTAGAACAGCTTTGTTTTAAGCAAAGCAGAAAGCCAATTGCTGTTACTTATTTATACATTTTCTTTTATTTTTTAAAATAAATTTATAGAAATGCCAAGCTAAAGCCAGCCCTGAGACCTTGGAATAACCCAATCATGATTTATATATACATACAGATATATAAATGACAAAATTTCTTTTATTCTGTCTTCCCTCAGAAACATTTCTCCCTGACAGGACTTGCACTACAGCCAATACAGCCCTCAACACCCTGGGAGGGGAGTGGTGAAAAATTCTAATTTTATTCTACTTTTCCTGATTGCATTTCCAAAACCAAACAGTTTCCTAGATAGTCAGTAGAACAGCCCACTTTTCTTGATGTTAACCCTCCACATGCTGTGGCTGTTTCTGTTGCTGGTCCTGGTGGGATGCAGGTGAGCAGCACGTCCTGCTCTGATTGGTGTCACGTGTCTCTACCTTTGCACTGATCTTGAAACATCTCTTCAAGAAGTTTTCAAGGAGAAGTGGCAGGGATAGGTCCTTAGTATTTATCTCTGCTTCTTGCCAGGCAAATCTATTGTTAATTAGAATAAATAAATTTTTTTTTAGAATAAATAAGTTTTTTTGTTTGTTTTTTTTTTCCTGTGATGATAACAGTTAAGAGATCTCCCTGTCTTTATCTTGACCCATGAGCTTTTCCATCTTATTTTCTCCCCCATCCTGCTGAAGTGGAGGAGGAAGAGAGTGGCTGGCTGGGCATCTGGCAACCAGCCTAGGTCAAACCACCACACTATTTTAGTTGCCACTATTGACAATCAAGTTTTGTCTTCTATGAAAAATAGAATACTGTAGAAAGAATAATTTATACTCCACATTTTTGTGCCCTGATGGCTTACCTGAGTAGGAAATTCTTTTGAACTCTAGTTAATACATATGAGTTTATTTACAGAGAATTCCTTTCATACACTTGAAAGTGCAACACACAGTACTGTAAGTACAAAAGTTTTATTCTTTTAGTAAAGTGTGAGTATTCTTCAGATAGTTGAAGAAGAAGTTATATTGGTTAAAAAAAAGAAAAGTATTTATGGACAAACCACAGAATACTGAGAAAGCCTTTATAATTGTTGGGTTTTGTCTTTAAATTGCATACAAGTTTATTGTGTTATCTCTTTTATAGTGCAGTGCCTGATTATTCCTGAGCTGAGAATGTGCAGGATTTCAAAAGTTTGTGAAATGTGCTTTTTATTCTCATTTAAGCAGATCATCCTATTAAGCAAACAAAGGTTGACCTCAAGAATATTCTAAAAGGGATAAGATTATATTATTAGGAGAAGAAAAAAAACCACCTACTGTTGTATGAAATGCTTCATTTTCATTCTCCAAGACCTCACCAATAACTGGGATTTTTTTCTGTTTTCAATCTTTTTCCTTCAAGCATAGGAAAAAACCTTGTACCTTAGCCAAAATATTTAAACACCACTAATTCCAAAACATTAATCTGTGATCCTTTTGTAGTTCCTGTGTGGTACTGGAAAGGGGTGGAAACAAACAAACAAACAATAGTTTTTATTTGTCACCCTGAGCTGTGACTCTGCCCCTCCCTCCTGCGTTTGTCTCGCCACTGAGTCACTGAACTTCGAGTATTGTGTAACTTTCATTTCTGTGGAGGCTTGTTATATTAGAAAAATTGTTCCAAAGAAAGCAACAATTATGACATAAGCACATCTGGCTCTTGCAAATTATTCTTTATTAAGCTTTCATTTAATTACATGTGCTGAAAGGTCTGCTTTTGATTACTGTAATTTTTTTTATTTGTCCATCTGAATGATAGTAATGTTGGAAATTACATACAAACCACCTGGCTTTTTTCTCACTAATAAGGCAAAGTTTATGTAGATCTGTGTGTAGAAGAGGGATTAGGATCTTCCCTGTTCATGGCAGAAGAATTATTTGTGATGCTAATTCAAGGTGAGGGTTTAAGTTTGGTCACTGGGAAGAAATTTGACCGAATTGGTTTTGTCCAGTAAACACTTTTTATTGGTTATGATTGTTTATTTTAATATAAAATCTATGTTTCAGTTAAATTTTTTTAAAAATTCCACTAGAGTTTTTTTTGGACATTCATCACTATTTACAGGAACTTTTAAGGCCTAGATTCATTATTAGCATTTATAGAACATATATAACTGTACAGAGAGATGGAGACATACCTTGTTGGCTATTTTAACTTTGCCTTTTGTAGGAAACCATTCCTGTGGCAGCTCCCAGTAAAATTTCTGGAGTTAGTTGTTAATTTCTTGCTAAGAAAAGAAAGACCTGGATTATTATTGTTTCTGACAGGGGTGTATACCTCCTTTTCATAAATAGCCTTATAATTTTGTTTTTAGTATTCTGGCACAGTATAATTTTTTTGCTCAATACCATGACTGTCATTAGCAAGAAGGAAAAAAAAAGTTAAGAAAAATCAGCAAAAGTCAAATGAATAAAAAATATTTTGTTGTTTGGGAGTTTTTCAGACTTTGTTTTTTTCTCTTTTTGCAAATAGCAGAAAGGGAAGCCACAAGCAGAGCTGAAAAAGATCCTTTAAGAGAAGAAACACCAGTGTAAAGAAAAAAAATAAAAGTGCATTTACAGCTTCTTTCTTTAGGAATATTGCAGGAATATATGTATATCTTCTTGTCTTCCAGCAACTGTATGCAGCTCAGCTGGCAAGCATGCAAGTTTCTCCTGGAGCCAAAATGCCATCTACTCCACAGCCACCAAATACAACAGGGGCACTTTCACCCACTGGGATGAAAAATGAGAAGAGAGGGACCAGCCCGGTAACTCAAGTTAAGGTATTTTTCAGTAAAGAAAAAAGCTGGTATTTGAGAAGGACAGTAAAAGCAAATGATCTCTGTAATTATTTTACAGTTGGAAGTTGAACCACGGTACTGTTCTTCGATATTCAAATAAAAAGTTCCATTTTAGTGCTGTATTATCAGTAGAGAGAAGGGAAGAGAAAGCATGCACTTGCTTCCAAAAATACCAGGCGTCCCTCTTCCTACCAGAGGCAGCACAAGAGATTCATCAGTAAAATGTGATACTTTCAAGATTTCAGTTTGTAATCTGGTAACATGCATAAATGGCATCCATTTCACAAATTGTTTCACGTTGAACTCTTGAGTATCTTAAGATGTGGTGCTGGCTTATATTGTTAGGGTAAGAGAAAGACTGTAGATCTTCTAATTATTTTACAAATCTCTAGCTGTACTTAATTCTACAGTTTTGGAAAAGCCTCCTATAAAAATAATATGTAAGTCAGGGCTCTGGGGAAAACATTGTGTCGCTGCAGATTGATTTGACTTTTGCTGATTTCACACAGCTGCTGACAACCACGCTGCTCCTCGCTGGTTTTGCTCCATTGCCGAGTGCTTGTGCCTGCTTATTCTCACTAGCTTGGAACCAGGCAGCTACAACATGGCATTTGCCAGGAGCCTGGAATGAGGCTGTGCTCCCCCTGAAACCCTGGAGCAGCCTTCTCCTGCGGTGTTCTCCTGGGCTGGTTGGGGATTTCACGAGAATGAAAAACATGCTCAGGACCAATTTACTCCAAACTGTAAAAAAAAAAAAAAAAAAAAAAAAAAAAAAAAAAAAAAAAAAAAAAAAAAAAAAAAAAAAAAAAAAAAAAAAAAAAAAAAAAAAAAATCAACATCAACATTCAGGTGTTTTATCTATTTGGATGATAGAGATATTAATGCAGAACAATTAAAATAAATCTAAGTGTGGCATCTTTGTGGGGAGAGAGAGAGAATGTATTAGGGTTTTTTTGCTGGCTGCTGACACCTTACAGGGAAACAGTCCTTAGCTTCAAACCAGCCTGAGAAGATTTTACTCACTTGAGGTGGTGGTTTATTTTTTTTTTTTTTTTCCAATTTTTTGACATGAGAGTAAAATATCATTTGTTTTTTCATTATCATCAATCATCGTGGTAAAGTGTGGGTGAGTAGATATTTCTGCCTGGGCTGATAAATTTCCATGACACTCTTTTGCTAGGCTGAGAGTACTAATAAATAAAAACTATTCCATTATGGGCAGATCTAACATTTATGTAGCAAAGCGTTTACTTTACTTAGCTGTAGATGTGTATTAGTCTAATATTTTACCTCTTGTAATCCAGCGCCAGGTTTGGGAGCAGTCAGGGAAATTTACCGCGCATGCAGAGTTTGCTACGGTCAATACAGAAGCCACCGAAAGCAAAGCCCAACTGTTCCAGCAAAGTTGCCATAGTATAGTGATACCTAACACCAGTGATTTATGGCATTGAGAATATACTACTGACTACTTTAATGTGAAAAAGTAATTCTGGCAGTAAGCGAGCCAAATGGACCTACACCAAACCAAACCTTTACTGTACGAGTCAAATTTTCCCTGGTTAAATTCAAGCACATATCTTCTTGAACCAAGGCCAATACTGTTCCAGGTTTGTGGCCAGCTGAGTCCTATTACAGAATTGACCACATGCAAATTCTTGGGGCTTTCCCTATATAATGTAACTTGAATGGACTAAAGTATATGTTAATAAAATTGAAGTATTTTTATGATTATTTTTATTAAGAACACTACTGCATTCAGAATATTAAAGATGAACTACAAGTGCTTTGTGTGGACAAATACCAATAGCTAATGAAGAAATTATTAGTATGAAAGCAGTACCTTTATTCAGTCTCTACAGATTGTTACCTTTTTTAGCTGTGACAGTTTTGATGGTCATGTATTGCTCAACAAATCCTCTATATTTTCTCTGGTTTTAAGCAGTTTGTATAAACTACATGTATTATTTATAGAATTAATGCAGTTCTTTTATGGAAGTCAGATCTTTCAAAAAGTAATGATGAGTTTTCCTTAAGCCAGTGAGCAGAATGTTTTCCAGTTTCTTGGTTGCCTTGCAGAAATGACAATGCTGTCCATATGATACAAACAAACAAGTTCTGACAGTGTTTAGAGTTCTTTCATTATCCTATCAGTACAAGATGGAAAAGCATTTAAAAATTGAACACTAGCATAGATTCATATGTGTATGTGTTCACAGTACCTAGCCTGGCAAACTTCATGGTCTGAATGGGGCTCTGAACTCTTGGAAAAGGTCATGGAAGCCAAAAGGTGGTGGATATTTGTGCACACTCTGAGGCCAGGAAGAATTGAAATGTCATGCAGTTTTATGGGAAAAGTTTAAAGCTGGTGATGGGATGGCATTATAAATACCTGTTTGTTCCGTTTTCATGTTTAATTCATTGTGTGTGACCAGATGTACTTTGCTTGACAGTAAGGAGAATGGAGAAGATGAGATAATGTGATGTATTATTGTATTCTGACATAATGCTAAGCTTCCAAGTGATCAGTGAAGTGTTTTAAAATATGAATAATCTCTTACATCCAGCATAATTCTGTTCTGGGCATATTTTAAATGAGAGATCTGTCTTACTGGGCTCTTTAATGACAGAAAATCACCATTTCACAGTTTTGTAAGTGCTCTGTCTTGCTTAATGTATTAAGTAAAGGAACAAGCTGAAAGAATGGGAAGAAGGCTGCACTGCTAATGTTTATACTTATCAAAGAAATTAATTGCTTGAAGTTTTCTTCAAAGAGTTGAGATATTTTTAGATGGACCTATTCTACAACACAGAAACAAGACATATGTCAGAGAGAATTTCTTCCACAGTTGCAAATGAAAAATATCAAATCATATAAAGGTGCTGGTACTAGATTTGCACACCCTTAAAAATGTTCCTTGTCTTAATGCAAAGAAAACATATGTAATAAAGTTTAAATGCAGCAGAAATAAATGCAGAATATGGGAATAATACAGACATATCGAACAAAGAGCAGAATAGCAGTTATGTGGAAAATAGTTTTGACATTTGAATAATAAAATATTGTAAAGTTAACAAAATTAAACAGTAGTAAATAAAAATATTTTTAAATATATATGGTATGTAGTCACTACCCTAATAAGTAAAGGAATTTAAATTCAGTGAAATTCTTATCTCCTGTTGTGAGGGACCAGCATATATTATTTCACTGAACAAAACATGCACTCTGAATTAGATGCATGGAATGTATAAACTAGCAGCAGTTCTAAATGTGGGCCAAAGAGCTGTCAGGGCTTCCAAATGATTCTTTCATAGTAGTACTTCTGATCCCTTAGTTTCTAATACATTTAAAAATAAGCTACATAACTTATTTTTATAGTGCCAGGAACTTTGCAAATAGAACCAGTGCAAAAGCATTACCGAGCTGCTGGAAATTTTAAATAATTCTTTGTAAATGCCCTAGGTTAATTTAGATCTCTGAAAACACATTAGGAAATTAAGCTGTAATGTGAGCTAATTCAAATTTTAATTTGGCAAAAAGAATGATCCAGTCACATAGTTAATGTAAATAAGAAGCATAACACAGAGAAATTAATGAGGTTTCCTTTCGTTGAATCTTAAAGGAGGCAGATAATTAGCTTCTTTTGTTATTATTGCTGCGGAATGTGGCATTGTCTTCGAGGTGTAATGTAACTGCTGCTTGCGACGTGATGCGTTCATTTGTCTTTTCCTAATAGTTCTTTACATTAAACTCTTGCAGGATGAAGCAGCTCAGCCACTGAATCTCTCAGCCCGACCCAAAACAGCCGAACCTGTCAAATCCCCGACATCTCCAACGCAGAATCTCTTCCCAGCCAGCAAAAGCAGCCCAGTGACAGTGACGAACAAGAGTGGCATCCCCAGCCCGCTCAGTGGATCTCTGGGAAGAGGATCCTCTCTAGGTAACTAATCTCTCCTGGGAAAAGGAGAAAGCAGGCACGTCTTCTGCATGAAATTCCAGCCTGAGCACCCTTAATTCTGGATTAAGTAGATACTTGGGTATATATTTCTGTTTAAAATTATAGTGAAGCTTTTCAAAGAATGATTGATTGCCCAAGTTTTATGAGAGTATCCAAAGAGATGCATCAGTGTGTGACAAACACAGGAAAGAAATACATAATGTAGGAAGTACATACAAATGTACACAGATAAGTAAATAAAGATAGATATATAAAACTTATAAATAAAGGTTTGTGTGTATATCTCTCCTAAAGGCATCTACTGGGTGTAAATACACAAAGTTAATCTTTAAATTATGACTTCTGGATCAAAAAAATAAAAAAGAGACTTTTGCACACACATGGAGCCTCACCAGATATTATTGTTTTATAAATAGAGATGGAAAGGCATAAATCCAGACAGTTTATGTTATGATTTCATCATGTTTTTGTTATTTGATCATATTTTTGTCATTTGTTCACCCATCTGTCAGGATTTTGTTGATTCATATGGTTACAACTAGGGAATTTTTGACCTGTGTTCAAGATTCTTTAAGCTTATTAAGTGATGAAACAAAATTGTTCTGAAAACTATGTATGAAGACTACTTTAACCAGTCAAGAATCAAGAGCTGCAAAATGTAGATGATCAGCCCTAAAGTTCAAATAGTAAATTTTAACAGTGACTAAATACTTACTACAGACCACTTATTCACAATCTGTAGCTCAAGTGTACTTGTAAAATATATAGAAACACTTGTGAATAATGAATAGATATGTTAAATACATATATTAAATATATAAAAATTATGGGTTTTTTTCCATTCCCAAACACTTGGGAACATAATGATCTCTGAAAGATATTTTCTGTAACTATCTAGATACTCTACCTGTCAATTTATTTGCAACTATCACTGCATTATCTTACATTAGAAAGTGAAATATCAATCTGAAGTCATAGACCATTCAAGGAAAAGGAACACAGAAGACAAACAGTGCCTAAGGTATAAATATTTTTCACTTAAAGTCATAAAAACATATTGTCTCAATCCTTAACTATAAAAAAGACCGGAGGACATTATCAACAATCAGCAAGTCACGTAGAAGTTTTTGCTGCATGTACATGATTATGAATCTAAATCTCTTTAAAAATCATGCAAATATGTTTCCCAATTTCTTTGGGGTTCAGAATGGAACTTAGTGGCTGAAATGGTTCAGAACATTGCAAATTTGCCTCAGCAAGAACAATGGTTGTCTCACAATATATTATTTTTATTTTGGAGAGGGGCGTTTCATTCAGATAGAAAACATCACCAGTCCCATCACTTGTTGGGATAGAATGAAAACCTCACAGCCTGCATCCCTTCTTACTTAGTATTAAATTTAGCATTTGGTTCCCAGGATAAAGTGTGAGAAACACTTAATACTTTTTATTTTAAAATATTTTATAGTACTTTGAGGTTGAATTTGCTGTATTGTACTCACCTGAACTCCAGTGAAATGAAAATAATATTAAAATTATTTTTGAAGGTTAATTCAAAATCTTAGCCTGTTTGGGGTTTTTTTTTTGGTTGTTGTTTTGGATTTTGGTTTTGGTGGGATTTTTCACTGTTTCTTTTTCTTTTATTTTATTATTTTTTAGTAGTAGTAGTCTGTCAATAAATACACAAATGTAGCAAATTCAGGGCTTTTATAAAATAAATTTTCTGACCGGGCAGATGCACAGGTAACACACAAACTGTGACTGATCAAAATTCCCAAGCTAGAATACATATGCACTAATCTACTGAAGTATAGAGAATACTTCCATGTAGGAGCAGGTGGATCTCAGTTTTGTTGCAGCAACAAAAGTCGAAACAGTCACAAAATAATTGCTGTCTTTTTCTCTCAAATCTAAAACTGTGTCTGGGATACTCATCTTCATGAATGCATTGTAATATGTAACAGGAATGCTTGCCTGGGTTTGATGCTTGTTTAAAAGTTTCTTCCTGTTCAGAGTGCTAGAAAGAAAACTTTTTTTTTCTCAATTCATTTAGAGATTTATACTCCTGTTATGGTGATAAAGACCTTTGTCCCAAAAATGTAAATGTTAGTGCTCTTTCTGAAATAGAAATCCAAATGACTAGAGTGATGGTTCTCTCTATAAAGAAGTTCTAAGAACTGACATGGAGTTTCATGGCCTAGTAAATGAGATTTTTTTCCTTTGTTCATTTCATTAATTATTTTTACTACCTCAAAATGTTTGCAGTTTAAGTTTCAGAATACTATTGTCTTAAACACAAATTTAAATTTGAGTCCATCAGTATGCTCAGATGGCTCAACATCAGGTTATTCCAAGACCTCAGTGGATGTATTTCTAACAAAAAAAAAGAAGTGCATGAGTTTATCAATCAGTTTAGAAGAGTAATTTAGCCTTCAAACAGACAGAAGTTGCCACTTCTCCTCCTTCTGCAGATGTTGGTTGGGTGCAGCTCTAAGAGTGTGAGAGCAGAATTCTTACCCTGGATTCCTGTTTGGATAATTACCTAAATAAAATGTGTTCTCTCTTTATAGATATCCTTTCCAGTCTTAATTCACCTGCCCTATTTGGGGACCAGGACACAGTAATGAAAGCCATTCAGGAGGCTCGAAAAATGAGAGAGCAAATCCAAAGGGAACAGCAGCAGCAACAGCAGCCTCATGGTGTTGATGGAAAATTGCCCTCCATGAATAACATGGGTCTAAACAACTGCAGGAATGAAAAGGTAATGTCTCCCATTTCCCCACAGTCTGTCACTGACTCTTCCCTGCAAAATAGCTTCTTATCTTTATGTGAAATTTCTTTTTAGAGCATTTAGCCCTCTCTGATCTCATGTTAAGTACACCTTTGTCACTTTGCAGTGCAGTGCTACACACGTCTCTAGGTGTACATGACAGCATTCACTCCCATGGTCCTGTGCACACACGTGAGGAAGCTGTGAGCCTGCACATACAAACATGGAGAAGGGCTTGGTTGGAGCTTCCACTGTTCATGGTCTAGATTTTGAATTGTGCTTTTGAGAATGGCTTTGATTGATAAATATGGCTAAAAAGCCAGTTCTGTGCTAGCATGATGGAGTATTACAATGCCCGTGTATAAATTGAGTGTGCTTGCATCTGTGGGTCAGGTGCAACAAGGTAATTAGGCTCCAAACAGCTGCATTTGCTCTCAGTTGCAGTGGAAAATTAGAGATTAAACATTCTCTGTTGAATCTTCAGTGTTGAACCACTGAAATCAGGTGGCTCACTAGAGTAAAAGGATAAATGAGAGAAAGTTTTGGGATAACAGGACTGGACCAGCACTGGACTGAGCAGGACATGATCCAACTTACAGAACGGCATGTAGGAAAGGTAAGGAACAGTTTCTATCAGCAGTCAGAGGACAAAGAAGACAGTGACAGTTACTAGCAATACACAGATTGATGCACAGCTTCCAGATTAAGGTTATACACCAGGCAGAGCAAAACAATTTTTTCTTTTACTTGCAAGAACAGCAGAGTGAATCAGAACTCTTTCACAGATATAAAGAACATTCTCAAATGCCATCTTTTGTGAGGAGACTTTTCATTGGTGGCACTTGCAGCTTTCAAAACCTAAGGATAAACCAGCAGCAGGGAAATCTGTTGTTAAGTCTCTTGGTGACCCTATGTAATCCTGCTGGATTTATTTATTGCAGCAGGTACTACAGAGCCATTAAGGCAGGAAAAGCTCGTAGTGTGCTCTGGTTTTACCTTTGGTGTGCTGGTCTGTTATCCTCGCCCCGCAGATGTGAGAAAAGGCAGAGGCTGCAAAAGAATGGGATATAAATCAGTCATTTTCAATTATGCTATATCACCACTTTTATCCTAAAGAAAATAAAAGTATTAATTCAATCATGAATATTAGGAAAATGTATTTATATTTTATAGTAAGTATAAAATACATTAAAACCAGAAACATTCTTTGCACAAACAGAATTCTAGAACACTCTTCTTTCCCCCTTCACCCTCTGCCTTCCAATTTTTACATTATGATATACTTCTTTTACTCTGAAAATGATGGGCAGAATGATCAAAATGGAGCTGGGGAGCAGGAATGCTAGATCACTTCAATTAGAAAAACATAATTTTGAAATAATTGTATGCCAAGAAAACTGTGTATAGTTCCTGTCATAATCTCAGTGAAGCTTTGATAAGAGTTGCAATTTTGGATTGGTTTCTTTTGAAGAATCAGAACCCTGTGTTTTCAGGACCAAATTTTCAGAAATTGGCTTCAGGTAATTAGACTTGTAGAAATGAGTAGCTGGAAGCTGGCACCAGAAAAAGATGACAAATTAATTGCCTGCAGCTGGTTGAAAAAAGCTATTGAGTTCTGGTCAGTTACTGGTCTTCAAGTTCAGATAGTTGGTAATAGTTTGTTGTGCAAATGATTGCGCTCACAAAATTATGTACATAACTTCAAAGCCTGGGCTTAGGCCTTTTTGAAAATGTGTCATTTAAATCTCAGAAAGCTTTGTATTTGGTTACAGACACAGAATTGAAAATTGCTTGTGTTCATATTCTGCTGTTCAAAAAAAAAAAAATCTACAAAGCTTTCGAAGTGCTCACAGAGATTCACTCATCAGAAAGACCAAAACAAAAACATCCAGCACTCTGGGGCCCAACACTGTCATTTGCCAAAGTATTAAGGTTGGTTTATACTTCTGAGATGATAGCATCCTGTGGAGTTATTTGAGCTTGTGAGCTATTGTGGGTTAGGATAGGCAGGTGAGCACCACACAGCCACTCCCTTCCTTCCATTAATGGGATGGGGAGGAGATTCAGAAGGCTAAAATTAGAAAATTTGTAGGTTGATTAGTACATTTAGTAAGTATGGCAAAAGCTGTGCATGTAAGCAAAGTAAAACAGGGAATTAATTGACTGCTGCCCATTGCCAGGCAGATGTTTAGCCATTCCCAGGAAAGCAGGGTTTCAGCACAAATAAATTCTGTGGGAAGACAAATGCCAAAACTCCAAACATTTCCCTTTCCTTGTTCTTCCTCCAGATTTTATTTCTGAGTCTGATGTCATATGGTGTGGCATATCCCTTTGGTCAGCTGGGGTCAGCTGGCTGGGCTCTGTCCCCCTCTCAGTGCTTGGCCCACCCCCAGCCTCCTCTCTGGCAGAGCAGCATCAAAACCAGAAAAGGTCTTGCTGTAGAAGCCCAACTTGGCACTAAGTGAAACATCCCTGTGTTATCCAGCTCTGTTTTGGTCACAAACCCAAAACTCAGCAGCATGTGAACTAAGCTTATCTCTGAGCCTAAAACAGTACAATGCACATGAGGCAAAAAAAAATCACTCTAACAGAGTAGAATTTTTCTGCTCCACTTCAGGTGGAGCAAAAAACTTCACTGTGGTCTGACTGGGGAAAGGGAAGAGTAATGGTGTCAGTCATTTTACAGAGGTTTTTTTTTTTTTTCCCAAAATTTTTTTCACTCATTTTTTCAAAGTTTTTTTTCATTTTTCATTCATTTTACAAATTCTGGGCAAGGGGAGAGAGTTAGGAAAATGAAGAAAATAATTTACAAAGCTTTGACCATGTAATAGAAGCAAAAGCAAAATCATACCAGAAATTCATTCATTTAGAGGATATGACTTTTTTCCTGTCAAGCCATGTTTACCTTCAACAAAAAAAGAGTACTTAAACAAAATCTGCATTGCTTCAGCTACTTGTATTTATTTTAGTATTTCAAACTACCGTCATTGCCTAGAAGATTTGCTTTGATTTAATGCTCTAAATGAATCTGAAAATGTTATATAATTTATAAGATAACTGACATTATTTTAAAAAGAATCAGATCCTATCTTTTTTGTACATAAAGCAGGAAAATGCTGACAAAGATGCTTCATAAAAATCTTTGTATAAAAAATATAGGTAGAACTATGATTGGAGAAAAATATATGAAGCCAAAATAAAATAAATACAAAATCAATTACCACAACATATTTGTATCCCCACAACCCCATTTACTTCCCATGAAGCATATTCATTGAGATCTGAGAGTAAGCAGAATTTAATATAACATTTTAATGTTTATATTCCATTCTTCATCTTTTGTAGATTTTCAGACAACTGTGTATTTGCCGTAGGAAAGCAGAATTAGACCCCAAAATAAATGACATGAGTCATTGCCTACTTCCTGGGAATCATGGTACTTTAGCACCTCTTCTAATGAGCCTTTTATTCCTTTCTTATCTCTAAATCAAAGTTTCACAAGTTGAATCCACATAATTTATCCTAATATGGACCCACAGTTTGTATGCAAAATGTGCACATTCTTAAAAACGTGTATTATTCACCCCTGGAGATATTACAGTCTATTGATCAAATCCATATTTAGGCACTTGGATTTGACTTGATAAGCCATAACGACCCCTTTGGAGGTTCTGCTCTGCTGTATTTAGGGACTGTTAAGTGTGTGGATTATTGAGACAATAGAGTGTAACAACTCCTCTGGAGCTGTTACACTTCATCATGTATATGAAGCTCCTGCACACATGTACAAACTTGTACAAAAACACTTCAGGAAGTCTTTGTAGGAAAAGTCACTAGTCGTGCATAATCTCCTTCTGGCTGCCCACAGCCCTGCAATGGCTCCAACATTGTACTCTTATTTTCCTAAAGGCAAGCAATGCTGCATTATGCTGCCATCAGGTTTTGCCAGCTTTTTTCTCCCCATGCATTCAGCATCAGAGAGAGAACAACTGCAGTGGCAGGAGTCACACTGTCTGTTCTGTATGTGCAGGAGATTTCTCAGACAATCACAGAGGATCATTTTGTTACAAGCATCCTTGCTATGAGTCAGTTCTCAACTCTGTTAAAAAACCCCAAACACATAGTTAAGCAAATACTTTCCCAGTTCATTCTGCATGCAATTCTCTTTTGCCTTTTACTGAAATGAGTCCTGACCACTCTTAAATTTAGAACATGAATTAGTTGGTCATTAGGGCCTTGTGGATTTCTTATAAATCTTATGAATATGTGGTTTAGATTTGCAGGTACTGATCTCTTCTCATTTCTATTTTTCTTTTAAGAAAAACTTGTATTTTCATTTTCCCCTTTAGTTTCTTCTAACAGACTATCAATAATTAGTAAATAAGAGATCAATGCTTATATTTCAGTCTGCAGTGAGATATGAGTGAAACTATAAGCATTTTTAATTGGATCTTATTTCTGTTGGTTAAACCTTTGTTCTACTTGTAATTAAAGGGTGAGTACCTAAAAATTAGGGGGGAAAAAAGGGATAGCAGTAACAACAGCAGATGACTAGTTTTGCAAAGTTACTTCTTCTATGGTATTGCCACTCATTGTGGCAAGTTCTGGTCTCACTGTAACTTAAGAAAGGTCCTGCCCCCCACAGCTTACAATTAGATATGATGTAATTTAAGTATTTAGATGCTATAATTAAAAATCTAGAACTGTATAGAAAGGGAAAAAAGAAAGACATTGATTTACTTGTGGAACTGTTGGTGTGGTCTCACTTTCTTGCAAGAATATAGGCAATTTATTCAACTCAGTGGGAGTGTATTCCATCTGTCTAATGAAGACTCTGATTCCTACAAAGAGACACTGCAAAGTGTTTTTTCCTGACTACGTCATCCTGCTCAGCCAAGAAACCTTTCCCTGGGGACTTTCTGGGATGTGGAAGGACATGTTGCATAGAGACAACCACTTTTCAGATCCATCATTTTAGAACAGACAAGTGGCAGGTCTAAGTTAAACACCCTGGAATAGGGAAAAGTTTCAAATACAAATCCCAGCAGTCTTCATACTTCTTACAAAACAAATGTCCTTTATACTTGACTGTGAATCTGCTCAGTTTAGTAATCTACTTGTGGCTGTACATAATATATGTAAGCTATAACTTTTTTTTTTTCATTGAGTGTTCAAAGTTAATTTCCTAAAGCCATATTTGAACACCAGTATTTTAGTCTGAAAATTCTGTATTAAAAAAAAGAAAAAAAGAAAAAAAAACAAACCAAAAGAAAAAACCCAGTTTGTTTCAGAATTTTTTGAAATTGCAATAAATTTGAAATTTCCTTTTTAGTCTTAGGGCTTATCCTAGTTACTTAGACATGTGTCTTCATTTTATACCCATTGTAATATTTCCTTAATAATTTTGAAGGGAAAAGAGTGACTCAAGTAGATTTTTTTTGAAGTGGCTGCAATGCAGGAGCCTAAGTCCCACTGAACTAGCTCTGAAAATTTTGCCCCAAGGCAGACAAGCAGATTTGTGGCTGCATACACAGTAACATTCTATTTTCAGTGGAATTCAGCAGCATTGTGTCCCTCTCCAGCTCTTTTTATGATAATTTGGACAATTCAGAATTTCAGCTGATGTAATACTGCCCCCTTTTATTAGAACTGGAAAACATGCTGGACCTTTAGTTTTTTAGCTGGAGAAATTCTGTTTATTTATGCTCTTGCTTCCAATATTTGAATATCATGCCAAGATAAAATAAAGGCTGACATCCATATGCATTTGTAACAAAGAATGGGGGGAAAATAGTAATGATTCCAAGCAATATTTTTTTTCAGGGTGTATTGTGTGTGGTATGACTGGACTTCCTAGGCAGCATATCCCTTCAGGGAATTCCCTGCTATTTTTTTAAGAAGTTCAAGGTGTAGATAATTTCTGCTTTTGTATGAATGTCATATGTGTTTGCATTGATTTTCTAAGTGTATTTAGGAGCACACTGAGCATTGTCATTTTTGGGTTTCTTTTTGGTGAGTTATGATCAGGAATTAGATGCATTTTTGAATAG